GGAAACAGCATGGCCAGACTCTTTATAAGGTCCCCATACCGTTATAGTGCAGTTTGTGTGCAGGTTAGGAAATTTTGTGTTCAGTGGTGTTGTATAGTATGGGGTTTTTTTTATGGTTGATTTCAGGAGTCTTCCTCTGTTGGAGCTCACTGCTGTCGATTGGTATTTCTTTGTTGCTTTTCTCCTTGTGTAATCGCTTAAACCTCTGTAGAAGGTGTCTGTGTGGGTGCCCTTGCACCCCCACACCCCATTTCAAAAGGAGAGTGGGAAATTAACTCTTCCAGCAGCAAGTGGGTGCCATGGGATTGGGTGGCGCAGTCCAGTAATGAACCATGCGATATAACTGTATGGGGTCTACTGACAGCAGGCATGTTTTTTTTCTTAAGCCTGCACCAAGGAGTAAAAATTTTAGTTTTCAAAATAAAACTAAAGGCACTTAGCACATACTTATAGTTAATATTTCTTGACTTACACAAGGGCTTTTGTGATGCTAATTAACCAACCTACTTGGTTAGGCTCTCTTGCTCAGTAACAACTGGAAAATAACCAGAACTTTAAAAGAATGGCTAACTTTAGACTTTCTTCTGAAAGATTTGTTTAAAGTGAAATGTATTCTGACAGCTGCGTTTCTGCTGAAATATAAGAAGCTTAATGGGAATAATTTCACTCCTGGCAGGCCAGCACTGATGCAGGGACAGCAGGCGCCCTGACCCCTCAGCACGTTCGAGCTCATTCCTCTCCAGCATCGCTGCAGCTGGGAGCTGTGTCTCCAGGGACACTTACACCCTCTGGAGTAGTGACTGGACCCGGAGCACCATCTTCTCAACATCTCCGCCAGTCTTCATTTGAGATCCCTGATGACGTACCTTTGCCACCAGGCTGGGAGATGGCTAAGACGCCGTCTGGACAGAGATACTTCCTTAAGTAAGTAAAACTTATTTTCAGCTAGCTGTATCTCTGGTAGGGTTTTTTTTGTTGATTGGTTTGTTTTTTTACAGTCTTTGAATTTTAGTAAATTTCACTGTGTTTAAAATACTTATTTTTAAAAACACGCTCCTGATTTCAAGTAGGAGATCCTACCACTTCAGTATTTCTTCCATATCAACTCTCTGCTTTTTCTGAAAACTGTATGGTACTCTGAATGTTTATCCTATCTTAATCTTAGCTAAAGAATGTTATCCGTTATATTGTATGCTAAACATCAGTGAAATGCACATAGTGATTTTTAAACAATGTGAGTTTTGGATTTGCTGAATCTTGCCAGAATTCTCATGTGGGTGGAAATGCATTTTACCTCATTTTCATGATACAGATGTAAAAATATAGAGCAACTGTAGAAACTGTTGTAGTGAGATTATATCTGGATTTCTTATGTTTTTAATAAGGACAATTGTGTAAGTATGCAATCAAAACATTTTTGCCTGCTCTCTACTCATAAGGAAATTAGTCTATGTGTTTGATTGCAGTATTTGGGTCTGTAACTCTTAACTCGTCTACATTCCCTGCAGTGAAAGGGAAATTGCAGAACGTCTAACATTGTTTCTTGTTCTTACAGCTGTAGCTTTTTCACACAGTGAAATTAGTATCACCTTTTCTATAACTGAAGAGAGGTTACACATGCCAGCCATCTGACACCTAATCCATCAGGGAGCATTTTCTTTTATGCTGCGTAGTTTTCTAAAACAGCAGGAGCTTGTCCTTCTTTCTGAAAGTGTGCCCACCAAGACACATAATTGGCTTTCAAATATTTTGACTATATTTTGAACACTTTATTCAACTGCAGGTCTCTAAATAACCCATTATATGTCATTTTCAGGGCTGCGAGAGGGGAGGGGCAGCACAGTGTGTTATTTATGTAAAACTTATTTTAGCCAAGAAAAACATCTTTATCCCAACCTTTCTTGCTAAAACATTGTTGTTAATATGTGCATTTGATTGAAGTAGTTGAGTTTGTAGCTTCAAAAACAAATTGTCTGCAAGGAAAATGGAATTTGCAGAACTACTTAAAACTGTTTCTTGTTCCTGTAGTGGTGGTGTTTCCATACAGAGGAATTAGCATCACTTTTTTTTTTAACCAAAAAGAGGTTACAGGAGTTGTCTGACATTATTTGAGCCTGAAGATTACTTTTTGTAAACAATTGTTCTGTATTAGGAATGCAAAAATGAGCATTAGCTGTAGATCTTGAAGACATGGTATTTTCTTTGGTGAAGTTTAATAAATCAGCATATTCTAGAATGTGATCTCTTCAGTTGACACAAATAGATTTTTTTTAGAACTGTGTAAGTTTATGCCATTTGAGAACTGTAGCTCATTGGACCTTGAGGAAAGCACAGACTGAATTTTGAAATGAAAAGCAAACTTTGTTTTGACTGTACTAGTGAGAGCTCTTGAAGAGCAGGTTATGAAGCATGAAAAATAGATAGTTGATTTTTAAGTTTTACTGTCACAAGTGTTTGGTTTTGATAAAGCTGTCAATTTTACAGAAAATAAAACCGCTTAAGAGATGCAAAATGTCTTCATGCTCTTATCGATTTTCAAAATTATGCTCATTCAGATGAAATCAGAGTGAAAGATTTGTTCTTGGAAAGCTTTTCTGCAGTTTCATTATTACCACAAAAAATCTTTTCCTCTTTTCCTGCAAGTTTTTTTATCCTTTCTTGGTGTCCTGGTATCCATTTCAAAGGGTCAGGTTTCAGCAAGAACAATAAAGAGCCTGAGACTGGAAAGTACACACAAGTCTGGCAAACTCATCTGCATGAGCAAGATAGTTTGTTCTCAAGCAGACATCCAAAGTAAATGATTGAAAGAGCTGCTAGCTGTGAAGGATGTGTCTTGAAGGGGAAAGGAGTGGAAACAAACCAGGTTGTTAGGAAGAAAAATAAAGGCTGTACTTTTTGAACCTCTCCCTGCTGGGTCACATGCTGACCTTGGGAGATTTTAAACGGCTTAATGGGCTGTTTTCTTTTGGCTTTCCTTGGGTGATGCTGTGGTATGGGAGAGTCTAATGAGGACAGTTCTGAAGGCTCTCTTCACACTTGAACATTTATTGTTGTTCCTAAAATGTTGTTTAATACTATCTATAGGTGAGATCTACCAGCTTCATTGGAATTCATGAAGATTTGTAACAAACACTTCAAGTACTAGCAAAATGTTTGCTTTGTATGTTTAGGAAATCTAATGAAAAGTGAGAATTGAGTAGCAAGTTTGGATTTCAGAAGCTTTTTTCAGTGTTGAGTAGTAAGGTCTTATACCTACAGGCCCATTAAAGCTCATGTCGCGTCTATACCTTACACGTTTGCTTGAAGCGTGAGTACTAAGATTCCTGATACTAAATACATTTAATGTAGTTCCTTCTACCATATGCAGATTTTTGATGTCTCTTCCAAGTATTCTGCTTTTTTGTTGGATTGGCTGCATTGCTCTTTGTTTCCATTTGCTCTGTTCTGTAGCCACTCCATGAACAGTCTGGTAATCAGGCTCTAGAAAGATCTTTGCAGAATAGGTAACACTATTAGATTTTTTCCAGATGTCGGTAAGCCTTATGGTTATAGTTATCATAATATACTACAGTGCAAACAGAGTAATATAAAATTGAGTACTGTACTTAATACAGTCTGGAATATAGTCACTTCCACTAATCAATGGGTCAAGCACTGCAAATGTAGTAGTCTGTGCAAAGAAATGAAAATAGTATGTTTGAGAGAGAAAATACTTGTCTGTATATGTAGATACAGAGAGAGTTATTTGGCCAGATATTTTATATACACACCACGCATGTATCCATATATATTAAAGGAGGGTGAGAGTGGTAGTGTAGGGTCTGAACTAGAATTACTCTTGTAAATCAGTCTGTCATCTAGATAAAGAGACCCCTTCATGTATGAATGCCCAAAATATGATTTGCCAGAATTCCACTCATTAGCATTCATCTCACTATTATGAATAGGACTCCCGAGTATAATTTTCCATTAGAGAAAATGCATATGATTTTGGCCAGTGAGTTAAGACACACTTGCTGTACAGCTGGTAAAACTAATACTATTTTTTACTGAAACTGCTACTTAAATAGAACTCATAAGAAGACTTGCCTGGTTAGTGAGTGGTCATGTCTGAGTCATCTCAGCATTGCTGCGTAGTGTGCTTTAGCCCATTCTTAAACATGAAGGAGAAAAGACTCGCTTGGTTTGTGTGGCGATGTCAACTGCATTGCTTTTTAACCACTTCCTGTTAGCCAGCTGCTGGTTGACATTTCGGTGAACTGTGGAGAAAGACAGGGGATCGCTCTCTAGGCAAAAGATAATATGCCATGGGAGTAGCAGACAACAACGTGCAGAAAGAAAAAATAAGTTTCACTTAATTTTAGAATTACTCTATCGTTTTATCTTAGTTATGCTTTTAATTCTGACAAAGCTTGTGTAATACCTCATCTCGTTTTGTAGCATGAGGGAAAGTTAACTGATTGTCCAGCAAATAAGTCTTGTAATTATTTTTTCCTACAGGAAGTAGTTCTTGCAAGCAGTTTATCAACAACTTCCTATTTTTTTTTCTGTGAAGTGTTGAATGACTTCCTGAAGGAGGCCAAAGTGGTTTTCATTAGTATCTGTGGGTGTGTTTGAGGTGTTTACCCATCTGGCAGAAACCTTAGAAATAGATTAATGTTACACATTTCTTATGTGCTCTGTACAGAGGTATGGCTTTAGATTTATGAAACCAAACCATTTTAAGATAACAGGGAAGTTCATTGCTATGCTTTTTTTTTTTTTTCCCCCTCACGTCACACATGAAAAGTATCCAGCCATGCTGTTAAATTTCTCCGTAATCCTTTTTCTTTTGCCCCTGACTGGAACCATGCACTGCACCAATATCATCTGCTCCCCTCCTCCTCCTCTCCCCCCCACCCCACCAGATTAATCTTACTCTTCCAGGGCAGATGATGTTTGTTGGAAAAACTGCTGCCGCAGTTGCATATTTTATTGAATACCTTAATTTACTGGTGAAATGCATATTCCGAATCATCTGTTAAAGTGAGTCCTTATGTTTATGGTTCTATAGTTCAGGCTAGTTTGTCATTAAAAGAGCTGTATTGTTGGAAACTGAAACTGCAACCACTACTTTTGATGAGTTTGTCCACTTTTTCATGGTTTTTATACTAGAAAGCAGTTAAAAATTTTTGTTTGCTACATTTTATGTGTAATATGTCAAATAATTTTCATTTTTATATTGATGACTTCTGACTGTTTATGAAAATATTCATAGTATGCCAAACAGACTCTACAAAAAAAAAAAAAAGAAATTTGTGCAGGGCAAAATGGGCACTGGCAGTTTCAGAACATAGCTGGAGGAAAGAAATATTAGTTAAAAAGCTTTTGAAGTAAAACATGCTGTGGTATGTTTTAGGCAACTTAAGATTTTTTTTTTTTTTTTGTCTTGGAAGACAGTCATAATACTACTGATTGTATAGCTTTACTTCTACCTCTTACTTGAAGAGTCCTGAGAAAGAACAATGATGCAAACTATTTTGAATTTGCAGTTGTACTAAAGATTGCCATGTCTTTAAAAGGGCGGAGGAAGAATAAGGGCAAACCTGCCGTACTTGTGTTAGCACTGAGACTGGGCTGGGAGGAAGATGAAAGTACATCTTCAGCCCTCTGAATTCCAAGAACTTGCAGCCAGCTAAGTGGGTGGGCATCAGCGAAAGCCATGGCACATGGTGCTTTTCTTGTGTTTAGTTTTGTTTTGCATAAGAAAAATTGTAAATAATGATATCCATGCATTCAATACCCTGCCATACAAGGTGATTTTACAAGATTATTCCAAAAACAGTTTAATAAGTGTGATTTCAGGTAAACTGAAAACATCTTCTGCAATTCTGCTTATTAAAGATTTTGTCAGGTTACATTTGGTTAAAAGTAGTAGCATCAAG